ATTCTATTCTATTCTATTCTATTCTATTCTATTCTATTCTATTCTATTCTATTCTATTCCATTCCATTCCATTCCATTCCATTCCATTCCATTCTATTCTATGACCTATAAACCCCTATGTGTCTAGGGATTGGTTTTTTGAAGGATCACTTATTTCCCACGGTGTCTGCCTGGTGGACTTCAGCTGATAGAATTAGTACATTCCAGGTTCTTTCAGTTAAACAGTGTCATCTATAAGGACCAGGGAACACCTCAGAGATAGTATTCAACAGGTTCTGACCAGTTCTGGGGAACCGGTAGCGGAACTTCTGAGTAGTTCTGAGAACCGGCAAATACCACCTCTGCCTGGAGATTTTACAGTATCCCTCCCCTGCCACGCCCACCAAGCCACACCCACAGAACCAGTAGTAAAGAAAAATTGAATCCCACCATTGGAACACCTGCTTTGTTGGCCTTCTGGAAGGCCATAAAGACTTGGCTGTCCTTCCAGGTTTGCCTGTCTGGAGCGTCTATTGGATGTGAGATAGTGAAATGTTTGCTGAGTTTGCTTGCCCCTTTCACCCTTTCTCTTCTGTTCTTTTTGTGACTTGTTTGTTGCTTCTTGTTATGTTGTTTTCAAATCATCTAGACTTGTGAGCTGCCCAAATTGAATTCAATAAGTAAATAAATTTCTATAAGATTAAACAAATGAGTTTCTTTTCAAGTATAACAAATTAGGTTAAGATATGTGGTATTCCTTTATTTAGTCTCCTGTTTGAGAAGTTGCCTAGTCCAACATTTGTATAAAAATCAAGAATTATAAGGAGAAGAAACATTGGACCCTGTCTTTCAGGAGGACTTGGGCAACAGGCTCAGATATATCTGATTGTGATCTTCCCCGTGTTGCATTTCTAACTAACTGAGCAGTGGTGGGATTCAAATTATTTTACTATCGTTTTTGTGGGCATGGCTTGTGATGGATGGCAATTGAAAAGATTTTCTATGCATCAGAAGTTATTATATACAACCCAGAGGTGGTATTCAGCAGGTTCTGACCAGTTCAGGGGAACTGGTAGTGGAAATTTTGAGTAGTTCGGAGAACCGATAAATACCACCTCTGACAGCCTCTGCCCCCATCTATTCTCTTCCTCCTGAATCCCAGCTAATTGGCTGGGTCTTCTTTGGTTGCCCTGCACCAGAGAAGGGATCTGAAAAGCAGCTTAGTGGAGTGGGAAAGGAATGGGGATTTTGCAGTAACCTTCCTTTAGGAGTGGGGAGGGAATGGAGATTTTACAGTATCCTTCCCCTGCCATGCCCACTAAGCCACGCTCATAGAACCAGTAGTACAATTTTTGAATCCCACCACTGATACAACCATATGTTCCTCAGATTGCTGGTGACAAAAGCAGTCCTGCATCATTATGATGCAAGCTCCTTCCTTTTTATACACGTTTTAAACAGAGCTTGCCTCATCGCAACGCTGCAGTATCACTTTTGTCCAAATTTTGACTAGTCTTGGTTGATTCTGTATGCAAAGTTTTCTTTTATCCTTTTTCCCCCATGGGGAGGGAAATGTGAATACTTCCATCTGTTCATACAATACTGTATATGTTTCTGAGTTGTGTTAGAAATACTCTGGCCAGCTCTTGGGCAACCCTTGAGTACAAACAATCTGTTTCCAGGATCTCATTGAACATTCCTTTTTCTTCCTTCTTGCTTGCATTGCATTCTCAGTAGGCCCCACTGTAACTATATATCCAAAGTCCCAATGAGGGCAACATTTGTCCTTAAGAAGTTAAAAGTCTGGTACACTCAACTTCCTGGTGTTGCTCATATGACCTCAAAGTCTGAAAAAGAGGCACAAGAAATTGCAATTTGCCTTGGTCTCCCTCATATCAAGAGCCATCCTTCCAGGAAGAATTACTGCTTAGTATCTCTTAGCTTTTTGCCTTCCAAGGAAAAGTCCAAATATGGTGAATGGACATGAAGGCAAGGGTTGCTTTTCCTTCAAAACTCTTGGGCCTCAAACGAAATAATAAACGTTTAGGCAGATATATGTATAAGTGTATAAGAAAAGGTATAAATTTCTTGTTTTGAATCACAGGAAGTTGTACAGCAGGTGCACAAATAATACATATGTCCTGAGCTTTCTGAAATCCCAAAGACCGAGTGAAAGGATCCACACAAAAAGTGCCTGTTTTGTATTCACAAGTTGTAGCTATGTGAAGCTGATGTTCTTGGCAAGAAGATTATTGCTAGATTATTCCTTGCATTCCCTACTCCTGTCCCGCAACTGTTTTCAAGGAAAGCCAAACAACGGAGCACCATTTGATTACAATATTATTATATTACAATCTGCAATATAGGTAGACATTCCAGGAAAAAAACACCTCAATATTCAAGTGGTAATACAAATTCATCCATACCTTTTACAGCCTAAACAGGTTTATCTATGCCTATACATGTGAGAATGGCTGTCCTACACACATAAATTGGTAACTTATTTTCTCATCCATTTTTTAATCTTCAGAGGAATAATCCCCTTTATATGAATTGCCAGCTGCCCAGGAAATCTGATTGCCTCTTCCTGCTGCTTCTGAATGGCTGCCTTGCCAAGATGGATGGATCTGAAGAACTAGCTTTGTTCAGTTCCTTTCTGGAGAATTCTGATATTAAAAGATCTTTTCGAAACCGAGTTGGATCGGGAATTTAAAAAATATCCTTTCGAAGAGCCAAGTCATAAACAGCTGCCTAAAGAAATACTCATAAAGCTGAATCTATAAAGTTAAAATGGATGTGCTTAAAATTGTTTGTGGTGCATGAATGAATCCAATAAAACAAATGTATCAGTTTGTTCATAATGAAAGCAGATGTTTACTTGAAATGGTGCAAGCCAAATGAAGCAAATGTGGTCATTCAAAACATTTTTGTTAGAATATCGTACAATTTTGCATTTATGTAAAAGTGATTTTCAGCTTAATTCCTCCTTACAAATTTTATATTTACCCCAAAATTGAGGCCTTCGGGATCTCAAGATGAGATAAACTTTATCTCTGCCTCTAATTTCATTTCTACAACAGTCCTATGAAGTTGTTTGTGCTGAAAGATAATATAGGGACTTACAATGAAGTTTACGATTGCCAGGCTGAACCTGGTTTTTCCCAATTCTAGTCCAATCATAAATGGATCTATATGGGGTTGAAAATACAAAGTGAAGGAAGCAAGTTTTCAAAAACTAAGTTTATTATAGTAATATGGAATAAAATGGTTGTGGGCCATTCAGTTAGAACACTGATACACCTGGTAGATGTATCCTCAAATGTATTTCATGCAACTTATGAAGTTTAGCAAATAAGTTTTGATTTCTATTTACAAACATTCTGTGGTAGAATAGAAATGATTCTATTTTTTTAGGTCTTTTTTTTGGGGGGGGGGGTGCAGTATAGAAAGAGACCTGGTTAGCTGTAAACTCAATAAACATTGTAGATTTTTGTCAACAAGGAAAGGTCATCTGCTGAAATACATTAGTAGTGTGACTTTTACCTTGTGGCCAATTCCTTAGAGAAATGATATAACAAACTGAGAATGCTTGCATAGAGATGTTATGAAAGCATTTATTTGTTGTGACACACTTTGATACAAAAATATGGAATAATTACAACACTTATTTTAAATGTAAAAAACTGAAATATTATTGGAAAAAATATGTGGACACAGAAAAATAACATTCATTTGTTTGGTATACAATAACTGAATAGTATAATCCATCAGTGTTTTATATGTATAAAGACAGTGTACGTGTTTCTGGACATTTGGGGGGGAGGTTTGTGGCAAAACAAAAGGTTTGTGTGTTTCTAATGCACTTGAAGTCAGCATAGCAGGATAATACAGTTTTCTGTATTTTGAGTATTCAAATGGGTCTGAGGCATGTGCATGAGAGATCGATTCAAAGTTATAAGCTTAATGGTCAGCTTAAGAATAAATAAATAAATTTGCTGTCCAAGTAACATTTAATCAAGACTTTAAAGTTAAACAGGAGATTTCTGATTTTCCCCAAACTTCTTTTAACATCAAAGCAGATCTGACCCACTTTATTTTTTTTTATTTTATTTTTTTTATTTTGATTTGCCAATTGTTTACAAGATAATAAGTATAAATGTATACATAGTTGTGAATACATGAAATGGGTACATATAAGAAAAATAAAAGAATAAGAGAAACAATAGGACAGGGACGGTAGGCACGTTGGTGCGCTTATGCACGCCCCCTACAGGCCTCTTAGGAAAGGGGTGAGGTCAATAGTAGACAGTCTAAGGTTAAAGTTTTTGGGGTTTGGGGAAGAAACTACAGAGTCGGGTAGAGTATTCCAGACATTGACCACTCTATTGCTGAAGTCGTATTTCCTGCAATCAAGTTTGGTGCGGTTTACTTTGAGTTTGTATCTATTGTGTGCTCTTGTGTTGTTATGGTTGAAGCTGAAGTATTCATTGACAGGTAGGACATTGCAATGTATGATTTTATATACCATGCTTAAGTCAGACCGAAGACGGCGTAATTCAAGGTTTTCTAGTTCTAGAATTTCAAGTCTGGTGGCATAAGGTATTCTACAACGAGTAGAGGAGTGGAGAACTCTTCTTGTGAAATATTTCTGGACTTTCTCAATTGTGCTAATATCAGATACGTAATGTGGGTTCCAGACTGATGAACTGTATTCGAATATTGGTCTAGCAAATGTTTTGTATGCTCTGGTTAGTAGTGTGATATTACCAGAGAAAAAGCTACGTAGGATTAGGTTAACAACTCTTAATGCCTTTTTGGCTATGTAGTTGCAGTGGGCTCTAGCACTTAGATCATTAGAGGTGAGTATTCCAAGGTCCTTTACAGAGCATGGGTCATCAACAAGATCTTGACTATTCAGCTTGTATTTTATTTTCTGATTTTTTTTGCCAATATGTAAGACAGAGCATTTATTTGTTGAGATTTGAAGTTGCCATTTGTTTGACCATTCTTTTTGTAGGGTAGCAGTATTGTCTGTGGCATTGAACAGCTTTACATCATCAGCGAAGAGAACGCAATTGCTCTTAATATGATCACAGAGGTCGTTTATGTAGAGTATGAAGAGAGTTGGTCCTAGAACACTGCCTTGGGGAACACCACTATTGACAGGTACTGGATTTGATAGGATGCTCCCGATTTTGACCATTTGTTGTCTGTTTGACAGGAATGCTTCTATCCAGTTATTCAGTTGTCCAGAGATACCATAGGATTTTATTTTTAGGAGTAGTTTGTCGTGTACCACTGAATCAAAGGCTTTACAGAAGTCTATGTAGATTGCGTCTATTGCTTTGCCCTGGTCGAGTTGTGTCGTCCATATGTTTTTGCAGTGTAAGAGTTGCAGATTACAGGATAGTTTTTTTCTGAAACCAAATTGTTTATTGGAGAGTAGGTTGTTTGTCTCTAAGTGGAGGATGATGGATTGGTTAATAATTGATTCCATGACTTTACAGGTGACGCAGCATAAGGAGATTGGCCTGTAATTTTCAACTAGGCTTGGGTCTCCCTTTTTGAAGATGGGGATGACTGTGGCTTGTGACCATAGGTTAGGCAAGGAGCTGGTTCTGAAAGATTTTTCAAAGATTATGCTTAGAGGTTTGGCTATGACAGTGGATAGCTTTCTTAAGAAGTAGGCACATATTCCATCCGGTCCAATAGATAGAGATGGTTTTAGATTGCGTAGTGCTTTTTCAACATTGTCTTCTGTGAAATCGATATGTATTAGATCATTGTTGTTATCTGTGGTACGGCTAGGAAATACTGGGCATGATCCATTGCTGTTTACAAATACTGAGCCGAAGAATGTGTTAAAGATGTTGGCTTTAATGGTGTCGTCGTTGCAGTCTTTACCATCAGGTCCTATCAAGGGAGGGATGGACCTTGAGTCTTTTAGTTTGTTGTTTACAAAATTGTAAAAAGCACGGGTGGAATTGGTGCTTAGAAGGTTTTCCTCTTGTTTAATGTGATAATTGGTTCATTCGGTCTTTATCTGGTGGCATAAATTTTTGTATCGGTTTTTGAAATTGGCAACGTGACCAGATTTGTTTTTCCGCCAGAGTGATCTCTTTTTGGATTGAAGTTTCCTTATTGATATGGGTAATCTGCTTTTTTGTTTTGTTTTGGGAGTTGTTGTTGGTACATATAGTTTGATGACTCTTTTGACTTCAAGTAAAAATATGTTGTATGTTCTTCCTGCAAGGCAGCTTTTCCAAATATTCCCTTCTTTCATGGTTTGGGCAGGGCGAAGATATTAGCAAACTACAATCCTTGTTTTCCATTTACTGAGTTCATATTGGCAGTAAGTGCTATTTTGCTGCCATTTGAAATCTGTGTTGTAGTTCTTTTATAGACTAACTCTAGTAAAGCCATCTCTCTTCTAAAGGCATCAGGTGGTCCTGTTCATTTTATAGAAAACATAAACTGTTCCACTTGGGTTATATTCTACAACTTCATGCTGGGAAGGACCAGAACTTGCCAGGTCATTAATATGGCACCTAACCTAGGGCATCTCTGCACTGCCATGTTCCCTGGTTGTGAGTATGGACCACCCAATGTTTCTGGAGACCAGGATCGCTGGAAGTTATCTTCTTCTCACCCTCTGCCTATGTCTTCCTGCTCAGAGTTGAAAGTAGTCTTATATATCTGTCCCATGTGCCTGGTGAGCTTTCTGGTTTGATTGGCTACTCTATTGGGACAGAAAACCCATCATTTTTCAGCTTTTGCCCAGAAAATCTGACATTGCTGTATTGTATGGCTTTCTCTCTGGTTCAAACCCAGAAGAAGCTTCTCTCAAAATTATATTTTTCTTTAGCTGAACTAACTGTTTTTCCTTTGGCTCTTTTTAGTTTTTAAATAAAGCTGCCGATGCACTTCTCTCCCAGTTCCACGAGATAGAAGGTTTCACACCCACTTTCTTGCCAGGTCTCAAGCCAAGGATATTCTGCCAATCAAGCAATTATTGTAACCACTCTACCACTGAGAAAGGCCTGTCAGAGAAATATCAGCAGATACCCTTGAGGAACGGCTGAGAGGAAATGCAAGAAAGGAATTTGCATTTTAAGTCTGGTTGCCGGGCTATCTTATATGTGCATTTTGATGCTTTAACTTTGGGTACATAAAATTAAACTTACATTTAATTTAATATGACTCTGTATCACTGCATCTCTATGTTATACATAATATATGTATATTATAATATAATTGTATGTGTGTCTGTGCAGGCAATTAGAAATGGAAATTTGGAAGGCACAGCAGCAGAGCAATGAGAGGATAGAGTGAGTGGCCCTGCAGCACATCTACAGGCTTAAATCACACCCAAGGGCTCAGGAGAATGTTTTTGCAGGATCTTGGTAATTGCTCATTCATTTTTAAATTGAGTTAAGCCTACTTAGGGGCTTATGAGTTCATTTTTGCATTTGTGTCCCTTTTTCAAGTTTTCTTTAAAAGAAGATACACGGCTGCAAAATGGGCCTTTCCATCTCAAAATGATGACTGAACGCACTATTGTCAAATCATTGTACATGGCGTTATTCAAAGCCAAAGATGTCCGGAAAGCTGTAAGCAGGTTTACAGTAGCTTCCTTAAGAATAGATTGCTCCATTCTCTTGCCTTACAATGTATTACAGAAGTTTAGACATTAGGATATCTCAACCCTGCAAA